AATGAATGTCACTTAATGATATTTAATGGCGTTCTGGCCTGGAAAATATCTTACAATAAAGTAAATTAGGTAAAAACAAATGCCTAGAAACTATTTTCAATATGTAATAATTTGTTAAAGTAACAAAGTTTCACGCTTAGAATACAATTGACATTTATATATTGAATGCTTATAGTATTTAAATTAGAAGAAAACTAACCTGCTGAACGACTTCGAAAAAGTTGTGTACGAATTGTTGATGAACTTTTATTTTTATTTCTCTGAGGTATATCTTCTGTTGGAATATAATTATTTGTCTGTACATAATCTCGTCGTTTTTTAATTGCATGAAACATAACTATAACAATTAAAATATTAAATATAAGAATTAATATTGATGGTATAACACTATATAGACATAAATCAATAAATGATAATAATTTTCGATGATCCTTTGTATCACAAATAAGTTGATCTGGATGATAACCTTCATCTGTTCGTAAATCAACATGAAGTATATCAACTGTAAAAAAGTAATGTGCTGCATAACTGGAAAAAAATAGAAAGATTATTATTGATATTGCATATGCAACATGCATACGACATAAACGTATAGATTGAAATGGATATCGAATAACTATAAAATGTTCAATTATAACAGCAACAATAAGCCAAGCTGATATACAAGTAACTAAATGTTGTATATAAAAAGCTAGACGACATAGAAATTTTGATTCGATTTGTGGATGATATCCAAATAATATATCAAGTAAAAATAAAAGGCAGCCACTATAAAGTACACATATATCAGCAATAGCTAATAATGCTAAATAAAAATAAGATGAAAGTCCTCGACGTGAACGACGAAACAGAATTGTTGCCGATAGACTATTTCCAATAAGTCCAAATATAAGAAAACCTATTAATATTATAACTATTATCCATTTTTCTATGCCTTTTGAAGTTGGATATGGTGTAGGTTCACAATATGGTAAACGATTTAAAAGAACATAAGCTTCACGTGTCATATTTCGTGATGATTCATAGTCTAATGCATTGAAATCTTTTAACATGAAATCCTCAATTTCTTTACATGATAAATCGAATAATTGGGAATCATTTGCAGACATTTGTGCTGTATCCGTCGTAGACTCTTCAGATGAATATAAAATGCTAAGAGAATTTCTTTTTATTATCTAAAAAATGAGACGTAATAAAATATATTATGAAAATTGAAAATTATTTTTCGATAATTGACGTTTATTAAACTATAAAAGCATGTCTAATAAAGATCTATTGTTAATGACGTTAATTTTTTTTTATGTAGAGTATGTCAAGTAATAGTTTATTTCCATAGAAATATTATGTAAACCTGTGGCATATTTCATACTTGTAGATAATTAGATAGAATAAGGATAAAGAAGAAAGAAATCTTGATACCTTATATCAATATTGTAACGATTTCTGAGCCAATATAGAACAGTATGAGAATATATATATAAATCTCTATTCTTTCAAAGAAATCGCACTCATATTGTATTTTTCTCGTCTTTGATATAGTACTCGAAAAGATACAGTTACACACTAACATATAAATATCTAAATAACATGCAGTGATACAATGGGTTAGATCAAAAACATAAGGAGAGTTTACATATATAGAACGGATAAGTATAAGAACTCAAAGTGTTTTCGATAGTTTGGTACATAAGAAAGTAAGAGGATAGTAATGTAACGTATGGATAATATGATGTATCAGGAGATGATAAGCGCATGTTTTTCTTATGGCATAAGCATCGGTACGAAGGGGAGGAAGAAGAAAACAAACCAAAGAAAAGAAGAAGCGTGGAGAAAGTAGAAAAGAGGACTGTACAATCTTTTAGATTGTTACAAATACACTTTTCAAGAAAAAATGTGACAAAATCAAAAAAAAAGTTTGTCTCGATCAATATATTAGTTTAAAATAAAGGACGCAAATAGGAAAAAACTGTAAAAGGTGTGGGTGCGAGACAGATACAGTATACACATCAGCACCCTAGTCACCTATACCCGCATCCGCATCCACCCTATCTTGGATAAGGATAAATTTCGATGAGTTTTTGTGATTCTCAAATGTAAATTGTGTTTTGTTTTTTCTCATTTCATGATCAGTGTCATATTACATGTTAAAAGATAATTTTTTAAATTGTCTTATTGTAATCCATCGTAGTTATTTTTAAAAGGTCTTCTTCTTCTTTGTTATAAATGAAATGTAATAGATATCTATCATAAAGTGAGAAAAAATCCAGGGATACCAATTTTGGAAGCAAAATAAAAAGATAAAGAAGGACTGTATATAAAAAGATGATTACCATTTAATCTTTCATATTTTTTTCAAAACAAAGACGATATACTAATATACAGTCAAAGGTAAGGAAATTATTTCATAAGAGTCAGAGAAGAACTTTTAAAATATTGAAGATCTGTAAAAAGATGAAGAGGATTTGAAGTGTGGTTGAGAGGATCAGATAGATTTTATCACTCGATTTTATTAGGATTACGACTGCCAATTACCCTACAAAGAAGTTATTGATAAAATATTCTATAGATTCTGAGCTCTATGCTAAATCAAGGTTCCATTCATAGTTAGATAAACCAGTCAAAGGGCACAATAGTCGACGATCTAGCCTCTCGACTTTCCAGATTCTTGATTTTCTTAATAATTAGACAAGATTCTTTTGTCATTCCTTCTATGCAAAATCCTTACCTGGAAAATAGATCTGAATATTCTTGTAGGCAGAAGTTTGTCTAATGAGCCAATAAATGTCTTACCAGGAAAGATTCTAGTATTCTTACCTAGTCCTTTTCTTCTTACAATTCTTAGTTATAACTCTTGATTTGTTGAACTTTTTGCCTGATTCTTTTTTCTCAAGATTCTTTCCTGATTTCTTTTTTTACTTGCATCTAACATGTTGATTTAAAAAACCAATAAATAACAAAATAACGTATTTGCATAAAAAGAATGAAAAAAGAATATTAAAAACATTTTATTTACATGAAAGTTACAATAGAAAAAATAATTAAAATATTTTATTTGCATTAAAAACCAAAACTCTAAAATCACCTACTATTTGATATAGTGATATGATTCAATATACGTATCCTTTTTTCTTAAATATTCTGACTTACGTACTTTTGAAATGCAACTCAAGTGTTATTTGGTCTAAAAATGAATAAATAAAGGATAATCGTTCGTATATATAAATACATACATACAAAGACATCATGTGATGTTGATCTTGAAGATCGTGCAGGAATCTTTTTTCGTTTCTCTCAAATAGAATCTCGCCTAAACATCTTGACTATAAAGAATCTCGTCTGATTACTAAGAAAAACATCGAATCTGGAAAGATGAGAGGCAAGATCGTCGACCAGTGCAATCACGTATCACGATCCTCCATAGGCTCAGTAATTGAGATAATACAAGTTTGTGTTTAAGAGTGGTTTTGGGTGGATGCGATTACGCGTATTTGCAATAGCCACATCTACATTCAGTTTTAGAAGAAAAAATATTTTCTAATTAAAAGTTTACTTATCTTAAACTGATTTTCTTTGTACAAGAAATGTTATGTCCCAAATAATTTCCCAATTCTAAGTGTACTTACGGTTACAATCAGTGATACTTTTAATTTTGAGTGTACAAAATGAAGCATTTTAAAAGCGTATTCATATTTGTGACTTAGACCGAAACAACTCTTTAGTCATATAGATGTGATCTCTGATAATAAATGGGTCTCACAATTACAACTTCTGAATGTTTTCTTCTCCAAGTTCTTTTCACAAATTCAGATGAGAACAATTTCATTACACGATTTCCATAGTATAATTACTGTTTTTTCATCAGTAAAGCATTTCTAATATTTGTTTTTAATTGATTTTACCCTTTTAGAACTGCAATCAACATCACCACGAGAAAAATTAGCGACTACACTACCACCACAGCCACGCTTGGAAAGTTACCTAAACTTAGTTACCAAAACATGGAATATAAAAGACCTCTCATTGGCACAAACGAACCAGAAGATATAGAGATGGCTACAAAACGAGTGACTGCATATAATGCATCACTAGAATACAAAGTAATAGTAGTGTTGTGTCTATGGGTGCTGGCTTAGTATTAAAATTAGTTTGATACTTATAATACTTTGTGTATTAGTATTAGAAGAATACCCAACACTTTTGCGTTAGTATTAAGTTAGCATTATTCTAATGCTAATACTAATGCTAAGCCAACACCTCTAGTTCTGCTCTATCTGAGTTTTAGCCAGAAAAGTAGATGTCTTATGTGCATGAGTTTGTCAGAGAAAGTTACGAAATGAAATAACTATTTCACAAAGATCAAGAGAACAGTTAATTCTATCTGTAGTAAATGTTATTCTTGTAAAATCTGTTTTATGAAATACGATCTGAAAAAGAGTATTGAAGTTCTGTGGGTAGAAAGGAATGATGGGCTCTTTGCGCACTATCCCATCTTGAGCGTGTGGGTGTGAGTTGAGGTGGCTGCAGGATAAATCTCGCATCCTTACTTACACCCACATCAACATCCTACTTATGACGGAATATTCATTTTCGAAATAAAATGTTTCTGAAAGAGATTTAATTTTTCTCATTATTATTCGAGAAAAGATTACCAAATTGAATAAATTCAATAATTATTTATGAGAACAACCAACACTTTTTAAAGAATTCTAAATGAATAATTTGTTTTCAAATATTTAGTCTGGATCCGAGAATAAAAACCATATTAAACAATCTACTCGTCAACAAACAGGATCGTAAGTATTTGATTCATTTATTCGAAATATAACTATCATTTTAGATCTTTATTTCATCGGAAAGCAATATTGAGTTTAATTATCATTGCCATTATTAGCGTAATAACTATCATTAGTATTACAATATGGGTTCTTTTCAATAAAAAGACCGGAACAGCAATTAATGCAACTGCGGCTACAATTGATGTATCGACAATAGGAAAAACAATGGTTACAGCGTCGATAACAAAAAACGCAGTGGTAACAACATCGACAACAGAAACAACAATGGTTACAACATCGACAACGAAAACAACTATGCTTACAACGTTGACTAATTCTCATACAACAACAATGAATGGTAAAATCTTGTTATAAGAGAAAAAAAAAATAAGAATTGACATATTTCCTAGGCCTAAAAAAATTAGCTTCACACGCAAATTCTAAATTTCTAGCTCACTCACGCATCCATATTTTACTTAATGATATTTGAAATTATATAGTTGTCCAAAACAAATTAATAGTAAAATACAGAACAAATCTGTTACGGAATGGGAAGTGCTATTTTCAAAACAGAATAATACTACTCATCACCCAGAAATAACACTCTCAAGACAGAACAAAAGTACTCAGTACCTGAAAGTATTATTTTCATAACAAAACAATTGTGTTCTATTTTTGGGAATTTTGAGGTGTAAGTAAATTAGAAGAATCACTCACATCCTCATCCTCAAAATATTTCTTGATTTCATTTTACTAGATTTTATTCAAAGAAAATCTTTTCTTTTTCTTCGACTAAAAACAAATTTTCTTCTTGTTCTTCTTTTCATCAAAATATTTTTTTTTCATAATTTTCTAGTATCAAGATTCAGCAAATGGAAACAAAATGCCATCACTGTAGCTGGTGGAAATGGAGAAGGACAGAAATTAAATCAACTCAATCGCCCTGAAGGAATTTTTATTGATAAAAACAAAAATATTTTCATTGCTGATCGGTTTAATCATCGTATTGTTGAATGGAAATGTGATGCAAAAGAAGGACAAATCATTGTAGGTGGAAACGGACAAGGAAATCGAGTAGATCAATTAAATCGACCAACAGATGTGATTGTTGATCAACAAAACCATTTAATCATCATTGCTGATCGTGACAACAGACGAGTGATTCAATGGATGAATGAAAATCAACAAATTCTCATTGAGAATATTGACTGTGATGCCTTGGCAATGGGTAAAAGTGGATTTCTTTATGTTTCTGATTGGAAGAAGGATGAAGTGAGACGGTGGAAAATAGGAGAATACAATGAAGGAATTGTAGTGGCAGGTGAAAATGGCAGAGGAAATCAACTTAATCAACTCAATAATCCTACTTATATATTTGTTGATGAAGATCAATCTGTTTATGTATCAGATATGAACAATGATCGTGTGATGAAATGGATAAAATATGCAAAAGAAGGAAGAATTGTGGCTGGAGGAAATGGTCAAGGAAGAAATCTTAATCAATTGTCTTCACCTCAAGGAGTAATTGTTGATGATTTGGATCAAATCTATGTGACAGATTATGGGAATCATCGAATAATGCGTTGGTGTGAAGGAAAAGAAGAAGGCGAAATTGTTGTTGGTGGAAATGGTCAAGGAAATCAATTAATTCAATTGAATTATCCCACAGATTTATCTTTCGATGATGAAGGAAATCTTTATGTTGCTGATTATTCGAATCATCGAATTCAAAAATTTGAAACAATTTTGTGAATAAAATTTTAATTTTAAAGCAAAGAAAAGAACTTTTTTAAAATAAAATATCGAATATGCTTTGAAGAAAAAGAAGTTTGCTAATAAAAAAACGGAGAAAAATGTTTTGATCGCTTTCTTTAAAATTTGAAAATAAAATAACGAATATTTTTATTTAGATAAGAATAAAAAAAGGAATTTTGGAAGAAAAATGTACAAAAATTTAAAATAAAATCAAAAATTAATAAAAGTTTTGTAAATAATAGAAAATTAAAATTTGATTTTTAATTTCAAAGATTGTTGATCAAATAAAGGTTTTCCATCTGATTTTTTTGAAATTTGATGAAAAAGAAAAATAATATGAAAGTGTTTTTAATGAATAATAAAAAGAATGGAATT